GAGGGCTGAGATAAAGACAGTTTAATAAGAGAAGATAATAATAATAGTAATAATGAGAATGATAACAGAATATACAGAATATACAAAACGAATGATGCACAATGCAATTGCTCACCACCCGCCGACCGATGCCCAGCCTGTCCCGAGCCGCAATCAGTTCCCGAAATGCGAGCAGTCTCTGAGCCGCGACCGACCGACCTAACTAACCCCCCCGAGCATGACGGTATGTGGTATGGAATAGCCCTTTGGTCAGTTTGGGTTAGCTGTGCTAGCTGTGCTGTACTTGTTATGCACCTGGGCGAGCAGGAGAAGCTCAAAAAGTCCTTGAGTAGTCTGAGCACTACTTGGCAACAGCTGAAAACATCAGTGTGTTATCAACATTCTTCTGGTTCTAGATCCAAAACACAGCACTATGCTAGCTACTATGAAGAAAATTAACTCCATCCCAGCCGAAACCAGGACAGGCTGTATTCACAGCCTTAGGACTGCGCAACAGACTTATTTTAAACTGAAAAATAAAACCTGAGTCCAATGAGATTCCAGATCTCCACTGTCTCTTCTTTGTGGGAGCCATTAGAGGGGTGACATGGGTGTAGACACTATTCTACAGGCAAATCTTAGATACCCAGAAAAAATGCAAGTAGTGCTAACACTACTTATTGACAAGTCAAAGAGAGCAGGAAAAAACACAAGAAAAATGAAACATATTTTATTAAAAAAATATAGTTGTGAATAGCATTGAAATAAATATTTTTCATCTCTTTATGATCAAAAAAAATGCTATGCACCTAGCAAAATGTAACAAAGCAATAGCTTAAGAAGTGGGATCCAGGAGCATGTTCCCTCAGCTTTTCTGAAGTAATCACATGAGCATATATTTCATGTCCTAGAAGTGAGAAGGTTCTCTTTCTTCTATTCCCAAGATGAACAAAAAGGAAGTCCAAATCAAGAGCTGTTCTTCCTGAATGTCCAAAGAGTTGCATTATCCCCAGATGGTAAATCAGAAGAGCAATAAGTAGTAACCGAGTAGTGCCAGCTATATCACAAGGAAATTACATCCCCAAAACACTTTTCAGAGAAAAAGATCAAGAAACTCACTATATTCTGGTAATTTCCAAACCATAGTTGCCAAGAGGGTTACAACATCTAGTTCAGGCTTAGCTGTGAGTACCTGGTATTTTAAGATCTACAGTAAGGACAGAAAATGCCCTGTCTGTATGGCATCTCTGCAGGGAACCAAAAGGTCAGGTGGTGCCGGGGGTGTAGGGGTGGGCAAAGCAAGACCAGAAGATGGCCTATTCAAGAGCTAGCTATGAAATTCACGACGGCCATAGACCTAAAGTGCTTTACCTTAAAGATATTTTAAATGAAATGTGTCTTTGAAAGTGCATATACTTGAGAAAGCAAAACATGGATATTTAAGAAAATACCTTCACACCTAGTCACATATACAGAAACCTGAAACCAGGGACTTCTTATGCTATAATAATTCTATTAACTTCATTGCAGTTTTTCCTGAGTTACAAAGATATGGAAGAAGATTGCCATCACAGAATAATATTAAAAAAATAATATCCCCCTTAACAGACAGAATGCAGAACATCTGAGCTGTCACACCTTCGCCACAGAGGAAAAAATGCTTCCCCTGCTTTCTCTAGTTCTTCTCAATTTGCATATCTGTAAAAGGAAGAATTACATGACAAAAATTATCAGATTACAAAATGATGAATTCACAGAACATTTCCTAGAGTTTGGAGGTACCAAAAAAATTCAAAAGGTCAAATAGCAAAAGAAGATAACCATGGGAGAAAATAAAGTGGTAGTTCAAACACAGTGGTGGGAAGTGCTCTTTAGCAAATAGAGAAATTGCTGTGGCTTAGATCCCCCATTCTTTTAAAATCTTCTTTTAAAGTCTTTCAAATGCATTCAGTGCTCTGTCTGTTGGTACCCCTAGCAGCATATCCCCAGGCCTTAACTCTTTGACTTGGAAATCTATACCTGCAGGACCAGGAGGCTTACCTTTGTTTATGTTTACACCAGTGAAGTGTAGAAGGGAGGGATTCAGGATGCAAGAACGTGAAAGAAAAACCTCAATAACTTCACCCTTCCGTCCCATACCACAGTATGTTGATTTCAGAGATTTGGTCATGTATTTTCTCACTTTGCTGAGACAGAATCTCACAGCTTGAGACTTGCTTGAGAGGCTGTGTTGGCCCTACCCATTGCCATCGCCACTCCTTCAGTTGTGCTGGCACAACTGTGTCTGTAGCAAAAGTGTGAGCTAGAGAAAAGACTAATTTGGGTTGTTATATATCTCCACATCACATTCTTCTTCACACGTTTTTTTCTTTTTATTTTTAAAACCAGATTAATGATTTGATATAACTCCCAGTACACAATGAGTTATAATGGTGAGTATGCAAGACAGAGAACGGGAAGCTGTGCTTCTCTTGAAGGCTCTGTCTGTTGAAAAAAGGGACTGAATAAACCAGCCATGAATTAAGGCTCTGTCAACCACGGATGATTCACGCTGTGTGCAATTTGCTACTGTTTTTCTCTTTATCACTTATACTTACATTTCAGCTCTTGGTCTTCAAAAGAAGCATCACTGCAGTCATGTGTATCTTTATCTTTTGATAGCTCTTTAAACAAAAAACACATATACAGATAACAGTCAGAAAACTTTTCATATAATGATAAATCTTTGTTAAAAGCTGCTATATCAGGCTGTTCAGGAACTACGTGACTTAAATGCAGATCGTGAGAAGAGATTAATATAAAATGTTGTATACATTTTGGCCAAGTGTTCTGAAGAGAAATTTTCTTAAGACAAACCGCAACTGACAGCATGAACTAACTTTCACACAGCAGTTTAATTTGAAGTGGTCTCCAAATAAAACCATACAACAAATTAAAAAAAAACCCAAACAAACAAACCAGCCATGAGACATCATGAGAGGAGGCTAAATGATTTTGATCCCTTCTCTCCCACTGTAAATATTAACTCTCTCCCCTCTTTCCTCCATTTCTCACTGTCATGGTGGTACTGGCCACTCCCTCAGCTTTGCTTATAGCAAACAGCATCAGTATCTCAACAGGAGGAAAAAGTAACTGTTAGGGAAGATAAAGATTTTTCCTGTGTTTCTCTCAACAGGGCCAAACACTCTGTCCTCAGTGTTGTGGCAAAGACACTCAAATACACACCATAATACTGGAGAAAACACAGAATCCTGCTAGCATGGCTCAAATTGCAGCATAGAGCCTGCACACCAGGATGTGCTGCCATTCTGAGGTATATGCTCCAGGGAGCATGTCCTGTCCCATCACAGATTTTCCAAAACACAGCACACCAGACTGCCCTTTTCTTGTGCATGTCAGGAGTGCATCTGCTCATGGAACAAGTATGCTTTTCTTTCATGTTCTCCTGTCAAGAAGTTGACATAGTAATGCAAAGTCACTTTTCAATTGTAACCTATAGTTGTTACATAAATGAGAAGTAGAAAGCAAAAGGGAAGTTGAATGTAAAACTGCATTTGGTTGTCACTGTTACAAAGTAAATTCTCAAGCAATTATGTCCACAAGAATCACACTGAGCTAGATTTATGCTGTATATACATACTTGCTATTGACGAACTAGCCACAGGTATTCTGTTGTCCTTATATGCTCTAGCTGAAAGAAAATAAGAGAGAAAAATCAAAAAGAAAACAAAATCCTTACTTTAGATCTAATGGGGGCTTAAGCACACTGGTGGGAAGCGCACATTTAGTGTGGTATAATCATTGGTTCTCAAAACACTCCATTTCTTCAAAGACTTCAAAATACATTCTTCAGTGCCCCCAGTCTATCAGTTTCCTTTCCAATTTCCTTTCCTGGTTCCTGAGCCAGAACTCCATTGATACTATACGCTCACATCACTGAAAAATACCTGTTTGAGTGGTTTGCCATTGTGTATTTTCACCCAGAATTTGAACATATTGGGCAACAGGGAACAAGAACTTTTCAGTGCTTTTTGAGGGGAAAACAGCCCATATTCCAGGGAGGTTCCGTTTTGAAAGAATCACTAGTCTAGTCATCTCGGACAGCTTGGGTTTTAAAAGAAAAACCTGTTGCTACTACTTTAGCTTCTGAATCAACTTGTAGTTTATCACACACACATACAGACATACACACACATTTATATAGAACATAATCATGATAATCACATACATCATGACCTGTGTATGCAGTCATGCATATACACAACCAATAAATATTACTCAAGCAACCCAGGAAACTTCTGACCTTCAGTGAAATCCCCAGATGGGAATCTTCTGAGAAGTCAAGGATTTTGCTGTCCTTTCTTCCACTTTCATGTTCTGCTCCTATTCCTACCATGTTCTTAAGGCAAGTATACTTTTACACATGCAGGGTTATCTACAGGCTTTCTGCAGCCTGTTAGCATAACCTGCAAGCCTGTTAAGCTTGTAAACACTTCCATAGCGCTGATCCAGGAGATGAGTTTGTGAGCAAACCACTGGATACCCACATTTAGTTCTATCTTGTATAAATACGTTATGGATTTTGAATATGAACGTTCAGTGTAGAGTTTGCTTATGGATGGTTTTGTGTAATTACCAGACAGAAATTAGGGCTGTTTCTGGTTTTCACTGTGGAAAAGAGTGCTGGTGGACAGGAAAACTAATAGGTTTGCTATACTGCCTCAGAAAGTACACTTCTCTTTGTGTGGAAGCTTTTGAGATACCACTTAAAAAGACAGTGCAACTAGCCTTTGCATTAGTTCCAGCTGAGTTTCATGCTAGCTACACACATCCACATCTCCTATAAAATTCAAGAATTTCGAGAGGAGCATTTAGTCAACTATTTTGTTCAGGTTTTTTCGAGGATTTCTTGTAATAATTTGCAGAGCCATGCTAGTATGATATTACAATGCTAAGAGTACTCTATCAGCTTCAGTGCCTTTTGTACTTTTCCTCTGCAGACAACTGGACCAAAAAAAAAAAAAATTAAAAAAGTCATTTGGAATAAAGAAGTAGCTATGGATCAGCTAAAAAAATCCACAAATTTGTTACACAGAGGAAGAGTTCTGGCTAAAACCAGAATGTTCAGCAAAAATACTTTCCTTTTGACACTTTCAAATGAGTTGTATAGGTGTTCTGAGATCTGCATGACTTTATTGTACCTGTTAAAATGAAGAGTAAAAAATACTCCCGAATATAAAGTCTTGAAACACACCTACCTTCCCTCCAAGGAAAAAAAAACCCACAAACAACCAAACAAAGAAAAAAATGTAGCAGTACTTATTTCAGGTTAAGCAACATGTTTCAAACACTTTTTCTTTTATTTGGGGGAAAATTGTATTCTTTTCGTGCTCAAACACCCTAAAAATTATTTCTCCAAGTTTTTTTCTTAAGTTAGCTAGCAAGTGAAAACAAATCACTGCCAAGCTTTAGCTCCTCAGCATACTGTGATGCTGAAAACGTCCAATTCAATTTAGTGAAGTGAACTGAAAAAACTCAAAACACAACAAGGAAATTAATCAGGTGGTATGAAGCCACAGTGGCAGTATCTCCTCCTGTGAAAAAAAATCTTCCAGACCCTAAACCTTGAACATATCACCTCATATGTAGTCCACTGGTTTTATGGTGTTTTAACCAGAATAAAGATATACGTAGAATTCATAACAATTAGATCACTTAAAAAAATGTGCTCACCATTCAGTGAAATTTTTCAGAAAATGTAGGAAAAAAACCCTAAAAAACCCTCCAGTGCCCTGTCTGCTCTCAGCATTCTGGTCCCCAGTCAAAAGGGAGGACACAGAATAGGAAACCTCTATTCCATTAGGTGCATAAGCTGTGCTTTGATGTTTGAACAGATTAGACACTAATCTTACTGATCTACACGATTACCTATAAGAAAAATTAATAGAGATGCATGGGCAAGTGGTTTGTGAGGGGCTGACAACCTGTTCCACTCTGCTAACTTGCTAGTTAGGTAAAGAACTGTCAGGTAAAGGAAAAAAAAACCAAAAACAGTGGTAAAAAACGTAATTATTTCAGGATGAAAATCTAAGGCAGACTTTTATTATCTCACTCCACTTCTGCAAGGATGAATTAACAGAACAGATTGATAATAACTGAGATACACGAAAATAAGCAATTTTAATACCTTTTCTTATGTAGACCATAAATAGAAGCACTGATCCAAATAAAGCAGTTGCAATGAGACTTGCTCCAATAAAGCGTCTGTTTTCAGCCCACAGAACACCATCAGCTGAATCTTTGAGAAAAAACAGTGGGGGGAAGACATTACATAATTGCATAAGCTTCTCCCTTTTCCTTTCACTTTCACCATATTACTCTTGCTATGAGCAGTTCAGACATGATAACAGCATTTTAGATTGTGTCTAAGGTCAGGTGCTAATGGTGCACTTCTCCGTACCTCATTGTCCCAGTAAAGGAAAAAAAAAGATAGAACATAGCTGTATTTATCTTTGCTTCCTGAATTCCATATGATTGAGCCTTTGATTCCCACCACAAATCCTGCTTGTCACCAAGGTACAAAGTATTACATCTAGCTTAGTTTCCCGTCAGGACTACAAGAAAGAGCTGACTGAGAAAGAGAGCAAAGCATCCCTTTCATCTGGTAAAGCTCTGAATGCAAAGGATGTGTTGGCCTCCCTGAATCTAAAACCAAACTTGCCCAATCACCACTGGTTGAAAGGATGACTTGGCTTTTCTCACTCTCAGCTGCCTGTTTCCACACCTTGTCAGTCCCAAAAAGTGTGCCAGCACAGGCATTTCTAAAAGTGCATGGCGAACAGGACCAGAGAAATGACCTGACCACGTAACAGTCTCATAAAAAGAAATATTAAGTTTGAGATGGATCAGGCCTCCAGTCTGGTTGAGAGCTTGTGCAAACTTATCAGGGTGCAAGGCAGAAATTAAAAGAGTAACCAAAAGCAGAAGCAGTAGTGACACTGCCCAGTTAAAACGTCTAAGGAGAAATTGTATTGGTCTTTTCCATTCATGCACCTTCCTTCAATCCAGACTTTATGAGAAAAAAAAAAATCTGTGTATAATTTGTTAAATTTATACACGCACAAAGCAAAGTCTGTAATGGCAGGAAAAGATCATCTTGTTCAAACTTACTTGACAGTTATCACCAGCAAAACAGAACATTTTTGGAAGGTGTGTTTAATTTATATAGGAGGGTTTCATTTCTAGGCTCTGATCCATATGCTTTTCAAATAATGGAACTTTTTTTTAATACTCAGATTCAATTTTCACACAACTGTAGGTCATGCAAAATTCCTATCCTTGAATTCCATCCACACATGGATGATGAACAGGATGTTAGTATGGTGGAAGTGTACACTAATAGCAAAACTTAACAACACAGGTATTTCTTTTTAGCCTTTTTAAAATTAGATAGGAAAGAGAAACAAATCGTGGTTGATTCAACTGGGACAAAATGACATAGTACCTTGAAGTGTATTATCATAAATGAAATTTAGACGTGTTACCTGCTATGTGTAAAACGGCAGATGTATTTTCTTGTAGCTCTTTGTTCCAGAATATACAGTAAAAAACCTCATCAATCCTACTTTTGATTGTAAGGGTACTTGTCACACGATACAGCTGGTCACTTCCAGTTTCATAACTTGTGTTTGCCTTATCAGTCAAATCTTCATATCCTCTGTTTTTCCATATCACTTCAGCTTGTGGGTATCCTTCTGACTGACATGTCAACTTCCATTTGTTGTCTCCTGTGCTCACCACTCGTTGGTTTATAGTTTTATAAGGAGCTAGACAAATGGGAAAGAAAATATTACTATTAGGAAGCTAGAAGAGCAGCATGTACTAGCAAGACACCTTTTCTTTATGCCCAGCCCCTGGGCCAAAGCTTGCATACATCAGCTTGGATTTTTTAAATAGTATTCCTGCAGGAAAAGTAAATTATCACTATTATGTCTCTCCGTAGTAACTGGAGGTACAGGATTTATTACGATTTTGACACTGTTTAGAAAATTGCATTAGCTTTCTGGTCTTTGTCCTATCTAAACAGTTTTTGCAACATCATTCCTTATACATCATCGTGGGAAGTAAAGGACAGAACATGGATTCCACCTCGACAGAAACACAAAGTTGTACAGCTGCACAACGGCCATGAGGCGGCTTCTTTCAACATTAAACCAGACAAGTCTCACTTCAGGAACTCCTCTGAAATCTTTTAACAGTATCAGATAGCACCGAACCTCCTGCGCTAGGACTCTCACCCTTAACTTTCAGGTTGATTGTCTTGTAGTCGGCTCCCCCATAGCCAATAAGACAGCGGTAAAACCCCGCATCTCGGAGCTTCACATCAGTGATCTGAAGGAGAGACTGTCCCAAGTTCAGGTTCTCTTTCAGCAATGTTGTTCTTCCCTTAAAGTCACTGTGCTGACTTTTAAAGTCTTCCTCTCCTTTGAGAAGTGCATAAACCTGCTTCTTTGACTCATCTTTCTTTTCCCAGCTGACACTTAAATCTCTAAACCTGAATTCCCCATTCACTGGAAATGTGCATTCCATGGTCACATTCTTCCCATGTTCCACAGTGTAGAGTGACTGGGGAGCTTCAACCGTGAATAAAGCTGAAAAAGAAAATTTGGAAGAAAACTTAATTTTCCAACCGTAAGCCTAACCTTTGTAGGTCTTACCATACACAAAGGACATTTTAAGGACCGTAAGTATCTGCCCTGTTCAGAAAAGTTAAACATTTTTGCATGCGCTTGTCCAAGTTTGGGGCAAACTGGCCTATTTATACCTGAAAACACCTGCTTTGTGCACACATGCGGTCTGATGCTGTACTAAAAATAGGCGAATGTGTGTGCACAGCCCTTCAGCTGTTGCTTTCAGAACACCGCCACGGTGACAGGCAATTGTTAGTGCCTCGGATGGAAATGTCCTGTTTAGACAAACAGCGCTTGTTTTTACATACAGTGTTAAAGAATACATGACAATTCCCAGGTTTGATAGTGCCCATAAAACGTTTTGTTTAATGCAAACAGCACCTTGTCTGAAATGGTGCCTATGCTGAAACACCGACAGGGATTTCAACCCGGCCCCGTATCAAATTACACATATTAAGTACACATATTTAGTTTAATGTAAAAACATGCCAAAACCTTTCTATTTAACACATTAAGGAAAAAACCCCCAAACACTAGAGCCTGAAGGAAAACTGAGGAATTAATATTTCTGTGCTTGTACATGAAAAGGAAACGTACTTAAACAGTTCTACTGCTTCTTACGACTCAGCTTCTTACCATTTAGGAAATGCCAGTAGAATAAAAAGATATACAAAACCAAAGGCTTTTCCATGATGTAGACAGAACCTAAAATGATAAAATAATATACAAATATAAACATCTGCTCATTTTCTGACTTGCATTGTAAAATACACTATGTAGTCACTCCACACAAAGAACCAGACAGAAGGCACTGAATTCCACTCTAGCCAAAAACATGACAAAATTGCACCCTTAACTACAGTTAGGGAGAAACATCCTGCATGGATCCAGGAAGAACATCTGATTTTATTTCTTTTAAACATTTGTCCTTGGTTATGACAAAATATATGCTTTATCGCTATCTGTCAATTAGTAAATAAATACTCACAAACACCTGACTGTTCCCCTAAGCTGCAGCAGGGAGCGTTGCTCCTGCTAGGAGGAGAACAGAGGAGTTTTCTATACGCGTTCAGTGGTAGAAATAGAACCTGGTCCTTCCCCGCCTGTTTGCCTCACTTTAATATACTGTGAACGTACCCTGTGTTATAATACCTGTTCTCACGGTACTTACGACGGGGCTTGTGAAGTTACATATATTGTGAAGAGAATTCATGCCTCTCTCTCATAATTAATCACTTAAAGACTATGTACAAAATAGCACCTTTGTAAACAGTGACAAAAACAGTCAGCCTGCAAGGAAAATCTATTTTCTTGAATTTCTGTTGCTTTACCTCTGAACACGTAAATTATTTCCATCTTGTCAGTTTTTCCCCTCTTTATTGGCATAGCTTTTACACTCCTACACAACACCTTAACATTATAAAACACTGACTAATGTCAACTCATACACTTAACCTTCACACACACCCTGCACTTGCTAAGCCTGTATTTTATGTCAGAGCAATACTAGTATCAAACACTGCCATCATTTTTCAAATTACTCTCAAAAAAATTCAAACTCACTGTAGTGGAAGTCTTTTGTGAGTACAGGGAACTGTAGAATTTTGTTTAAATAAAGTCCTCATTTGGGATACCCGAACAGCCACAAAAATATAGAAAGATTGCCTTCAGCTGTTTTTAGCGGTAGTTTCAGCACTTGCGTAAGAAATTAGGCAACTTTAATACTTGTCGCGCTCTCTAACTGATGGAGTTCTATCTGGACGGCAACTCTTACCATTTTTGGTAAGATGTTCTGTCTTTCTTTCTCTGGTTGTCAACTCTAAGATGATAATAAAGTAAAAATATTGTCCTGAGTCATAAGATACGTGTGCCTCTATAGTGTTGTAGCTTAAGGGAATTAAACTCCTCATAAGAATTTGATTCAAGCTACTTTTTTCCTCAGGTTGCTGCTGCCTGATTACAGCAGCAGGTTTGCAGAAGGCAACAGGGAGGTGAGAAAGGGAGTCAATCTAATACACAGTTATGTAGGCATGAGCAATTACAAAAGGATATTCTGCTAACAGGGACAGGAAAATACAAATAGGATCCTCAGGCTGAAAGATCTCTTTCATTGATAAATAAATTCCAGGCTTCTTAATGGGGTTAGGTACCCAATTCATTCCATAGCCACAACTGATGTTCTTAAAAAGCTGCTGCCTAAACCTGTGGGTACCTGTGAGTCTCTGGATGTGCACACATGGGAGTGCCTCCAGCATGACGCCACTGCCTGAGTAACAAGCAGTCCAGAACACCAACTAAATTCCGGAGTAAAGCTTCCGAAACAAGACAGAGGTGCACCAATCTCACAAGTGTACTCTGATCCCTCTTACTCTAGAGGCAAGCCTGCAGAACAGCTGAGACTAATGGGTATAGCCGTGCACCTCTCTGCGCTCCCCATGCCAGAATGACCAGAGTTGTAGCACACTCAGCCCCAAAATACCGAGAGACTGCTCAGAACAAACAGCATGTGCACTATAGCCACAGAAAGATATCCATACTGATGCATGCAACCCACACCCACTTTTTTGTCAGGAAATCTGAATGTCAGTAGATTTAATTTGCATGCTTTCTCCCACTGTAGAGGAAGACAAGGCTTGCTACACACAAAAGAAGTATGACTATTACTTACAAAATTCCTCAAGACTGAGAAAGGCTGCTGCTGCAATCAGTTTTTCACTTTCAGAGAGAAAAAAGTAGGTCCAGGTCAAATTCACGTGCACATGAAAAAACACACTGCAATAACTATTACAGGTCCTCCTCCTGTTTCACCCTGAGCAGAAGAATCCCCCGGCTGGATTGGTTGAAGCAGCTCGAGACACAGATGCCAATCAAAGACCTTTATCAAAGTTGAAATCTTCTCACGATTTTTCTTACATAACCTACTACAATGCCCCTTCTTTCCTCCTGCTGACTTCTGCTATCTGTGGTGAACACAGTTTTATAAAAGCAAAAAGATAGCCACTGTGCAAAATGCTCTTCAGTATTGCTGCTGTATGTTTCCCTCACAATCGAATACAGAACACAGGAAAAAGAGAACTATTTGCCCAAAGACTTCTTGTGACAGAACCTAGATGATACAACTCCACTTATATTAGGAAACTTCCTCATTATTGGAAAGTTCCCCACTAGGGAAAATTCTCTATTGCTAACAGTGGTTCACTGTAACCAGAGACAGAAATGTTGGGAAAATTAGTAAATAAAATGCCACAGGCATTTTAAGAAATGTGTAATCTGATCAAAGCTGTATGTGAACAACAGCCCTTTGGAACACCAGTAGCAAGAAGTCATCCATGTTCACAAAATCAGGGTCCCTACAGTATTAATATCAAGCAGTGCCAAACAGCTGCTAACAATGACTGGAAATTTTTACACAACTTACTCATGTCTGCAAAGGTCATAAGTAGGAGTAACAGAAAGAGCATTGCCTACCAGTCTCTGGTAAGAACAGATACTCTCTCCCCAAGATCTGAGCACAATGAAGGCCCCTTGCCTTGCCACTGTGTAGTGCAAGAAGAGTTGTTAAGCCTACGCATTAGCTTAGCAAGAGCACTGCCTTTTTCTTTTTCATGATCCTTGTCCTGGTTTCAGCTGGGACAGTTCATTTTCTTCCTAGTAGCTAGCATAGTGCTGTGCTTTGGATTTAGGATGAGAAGAGTGCTGATAACACTCAGTTGTTACTCTTAGTAGCGCTTACACCAGCCAAGGACTTTTCAGCTTCCCCTGCTCTGCCAGATCCACAGGAAGCTGGGAGGGGACACCGCCAGGACAGCTGACCCCAACTGGCCAAAAGGCTATTCCAGACCACATTGTGTTATGCTCAGTACATAAACTGCCATCTGGGGAGCAGCAATTGCTGCTCGGGGACAGCCTGGGCATCAGTCAGCGGGTGGTGAGCAAGTGTATCGTGCATCACTTGCTTTGTATATTCTTTTATCATCATCATCAAATTTTTTATTATTAGTAGTATTATTACTACTACTACTATTATTACTATTATTGTTTTCCTCTGGTGTTTTATTAAACTGTCTTTATCTTGACCCATGGGTTTTACTTTTTTTTTCTGACCCTCCCCCCATCCCACCAGGGCAGGGAGGGGGACAGTGAATGAGCAGCTGCGTAGCGCTTAGTTGCCAGCTGGGTTAAACTACAGCAGCCCTTTTTGGCGCCCAGCATGGTTCTCCAAGGGTTGAGATAACAACAGATCTGACCAGAGTGTGTTAAAACAAATTTATTATAAGTATTCATTATATTAGCTTAGTAATTGCTGGTCACAATGTTGATTTACTTGTTCACAGAGTTGTGTTATGTAAACCTTACTCGCTGTATACACGGTTTGTCAGTGTTTATGTGCTGTTTATCACCTCTGGGAGGTGGATTAAGGTTATCGCTTTGCTGTACTGTGTAATACTGGCTAATGGTATGATAAAATTATTGGTCATGAGATCAGTCCCATATTTGTACTCAGCATTGCCATCACCTTTGTACCTCGGGAGCTATCTATTGGAAATTATTAATAATTACACTTTTTACTTTTTCTCCTTGGAGACCTAACTTATGGGGAAAACAGCTTCCTCCATCTTCCCCTTCTTCTCCAGGCTAATTACAATAGCTCTTGAGAATTTTGAATATCCTTGGGATGTTCAAACAGGCATGTTCCTCTTGCTATGTCTCCTGGATGTGTGCAAGGTCTTGCTTAGGGTTAAATAACTTTAAGAATATTGTGGCTAAACCAACCCCGGGAACAGGCACTGCGGTTATTCCAACCCCCACGACAGGCACTGTGGCTACCCAAACCCCAATGATACGCAGTGCAGCTTAACCAGGGAACCAACCCATGCTGGGATCAGTTGCCCCTATATACAAGAAGAAATACTGGAAGCAGAAGTCAGCTCGTTTAGAAAGAGATAGGGAAGCTCCTCCTAAGAGGGAGCAGGAGAAAGAAACATACTACCTTGACAGTGAGAAGGCAGACTACTCTAAAGTAGGGCCATAATGAGAACAGGAGGAGGAAGACGAAGAATCCATAAACAAGATGGTAACCACCCAATCTCTATCCCTGAGTAAGCTGCAAGATATGTGAAAAGATTTCAGCCGTCGTCCAGGCAAGCACATTGTCACCTGGCTGCTCCGATGCTGGGACAATGGGGCCATTAGCCTGCAACTAGATGGTAAGGAAGCCAAACAGCTGGGATCCCTTTATAGGGAAGGGGGCATTGACAAAGCAAATGGAAAAGGGGCACAAGCCCTCAGCCTCTGGAGGCGACTCCTGTCAGGTGTGAAGGAAAGGTATCCCTTCAAGGAAGATGTTATATGTCACCTAAGCAAGTGGACCACCATGGAGAGAGGTATCCAGTACCTGAGGGAATTAGCCATGCTGGAGGTGATTTATAGTGACCTAAACAACAAGCAGTTATCCAAAGGTCCAGATGAAGTCAGGTGCACACGACCCATGTGGTGGAAATTTGTATGGAGCCACTCCAGTGTCGTACACCAACTCATTGGCAGTAATGATCTGGAAAGATGAAGAGGGACAGACAGTGGATGAATTGGCTCGCCAACTCTGGCAATATGAAGAAAGTCTCTCTTCCTCCCTTGTCTCGGCTGTGTAGAAACTGTCCTGGAAGGTCCAGCAACTCAAAGACAATACGTCCTGTTCCCCACC